AGAAATAGAATAGGCTTATACTCAGATACTGAAACCCCATGACATTTGTTTCTAGCATAAGCAATACGGGTACTGTGGAACAGGTCAGGGTGTCCGGACCTTTCTTAAACCTTGCAGAATACATCATCTTTTCTTGACTCAAAAGTATTTGAAATGATTATTTAAAATGGTATGCTAGAAAAGCAAAGAGACTGGTCAAACTGTCTCAAGCACTAGTAGTTAGTACCTGGCATCCTGCCCCAGCCCTTTCTGGTCTGAATAAAGAAAGCGATCTTAGGTGCTCAAGAGCCTTGCCTATTACAAAACACAGAAAAGTAAACTTGCCCCTTCAAAACACTTTTATAAGAGGCCATTTTCACAGTCACAAAATGGGAGGGTGGTTCCATGAAAGACTCAAGTTTAGTAGTGGAGATTTCATTCATCAGTGAAGAAGGGTGTCTTTCAGCAGGCCCAAACACTATCCTTTTATGTGCCAAAGCCACAAACACTTGGTTACTTTTTTAAGGATATGCACAAACAGGGCAGCTGTACCCAAAATAAATATGAAAGCATGGTTTATGCTGACAAACAGGCAACAGATCATTTTTGTAAGCAGAGGGCAGCACGTTCCATTGCTTTTCTACAACTTCAATTTGGAGCCTACTGTGAGTTGTCATGTACTTGTTTTGCACCTGATACTGGAACAGAGGCTTTGGCTTGCTGTTCCACTGCAACTCAGAGCCAACTCTACTGCTGTCAACAAACATCAGGTCAGGCTTGGAAAGCTTACAGGAAGCTTTCATGGCAGCATGTGCCAGTAGAGGGAGAAACAACTGCCCGCCTCTGAGTTACAGGAAATCTGACAACCAAGAAGGTTAGAAAAAAGAAAGGTACAACAGGGTCATGGCAAGAAGGCACCTCATGGAAACAACATCTGCCTCATCCACCTTAGTGAAATTTTCACCATTAATTTCTTGGGGCAGGAGGAAGAACCTTGGCTTTTCCTTCTAAACACAAGCAAATGAAAATTGGGGTCTCAGTATCCCAGTAAGAGACATTCTTTGGCTTCAGCATTCTGGTTTTAAACACACACGATACTACATGAATTGTTATGAAGAAATCATTATCCATGTACACCTGAAACATGAATCAAACCTCTGCATTTCAGCCAAAATAGTGAAACAGCATGAATCTGTTGCATTTTTCCTCACTCATCTGAAAGAGGCAATTAATTTACCCTTTCCTAAACTGTTGAACTGTTGTTTTCATCCTGGGCAATTTCCTGTGTCCCTCCTTAAAAGTCAACCCAATTGAAAAGGGTTTGAGCACAAAGCCTCTAGTCAGCTTCTCTTTCTATTGCCAAGCAAGAACATCTTGAAACAGCAGATCAGTCTCTGAACCCACAGACCCTTCTGTATATGTGATGTACATATAGCGTGAAATGACAGGAGCTGGCAACTTCCTTCTGAAATACACTGGAGGTCCTAAACTCACACACAACTTTAACAGTGGCAAACATCCAAAGAACTCCATTACTGAAAGTAACAGTACAAATTGCCTAACATCAAATGGCCACTAATAAATACACTGGGAAGGAATTTCAACAGAAACCATTGGCGGGGGGGGAAGCATGAACTAGGAAAAATTCTTTTTGGAGAACTTCTGAGTGCTTCAGAAAGAGCATCTACACTGCCGGTGACAGTAAAAGCATTCACCATTAGAATTTGGGAGTGACAGGAGAGAGCCAATGCACCACACAGCACACAAGTGGAATAAGGTAATTATTTCTATTTTTACAAAATACATGTCATAGAACTGTTCACAATTGTAAGAAGCAGACACCACTGAACCAAAAGAAGTAGTTTAAGTGCTGAGTAAATGCAACATTTAAAACCAACGAGTCAAGACACGTACATGGTATCCAATAGACTTTTTCTACTCCTTTTCTATTTTTACTATTCATTCTTTCAATTTCTTTTCCTGGCCATATGAGATTGGTTCTGAAACAGTTCCAGTTTCCCTCTGCTCTCTCACATCACATAGAAGGCAACCCCAAAGACAGCAACAGTTTTTGGAGGGCACTTACCAGCATGAAAGAAGAGAAGACAGAAGACACTTCTAGTGCACTTCATGGTGAAAATTTTGGGATTTGTGCTTTTTTCGAGCCTTCAAAACCCCCTGAGACCACGGCTTCTGCAAGCGTGCTCTCCCCAGCCTGCTCTTCAGTGAAAATCAGCAGCATTCAATTGCAGGTGCACTTTGTTCAACAATTTATCTTGCTTACCTTGGCACACGTCACCTCGTGATGACCACAAAGTGGGGAAAAAAAGCCTATCTCTCTTCACATTGCCCTACACTTGCAAAAACATTAAGACTGGGAAATTGCAAAATATCTGAGGCACCAATGAGAGGCTGTTACTTCTTTAGCACCACTTACAGACTTAGATAAACAGCTACACCCCAGTGCTAGGGGTAAGACAAGGCTGTATAAAGAAATCCTCATTTTGATTTCTGTGTATTCCCTACGTGTTTGGGCTCAGGAAGCAAAAGTAGATTCAATCCGACTTCATCTGACAGAGCTGATGGTCACTTTTGTGTTGTGTTTTTTTTTTTTACACCACATACTAAGTATTGTCATGAACTGTCAATGAATAAAACCAAAACAAGAAATAAAGGCTTTCAGAACAGTGAAGCCCAGGCATTCTACAGGTGGTTCAGTACATGCATCTCCTGAAATCTAACAGCAAACTCTGACATAGCTGAAGCAGTTTGACTTTCAAGGTTTTAGAGAAGGCCTGGGAAGGCTTCTGTTCCTCAGAAAGGGAACAAACTCTGTTGACAACAGGTCTGGTAAAAGCCGCCATGACTTTTAGAGTAGCTTTTAGAGAGCAACACTCATTTGTGCAGCTCTTTTCATTTCCCATTAGTCAACGAACTGCAGCAGCCAGTAACACTTTGTTTAGATAAAAGCCATTTAATGCTGTCTTGCTCTACTGACTGCCATTTCTCAGCTCAGCACCCAGCTACCAGAGGAACCATGGCTCTGTGCCACCATGAATCACTATGCACACGCATCTTCACCAACTTGTATTGAAAACATGCACGAAATACACAACTGTGTGCGTCCTCTAAGACAGTCTGTCCACCCAGCAGAGGTGCTTTCAGGACGTAAGTTACACAGCTACTTGACTGCACTTTGGCCAGGCTGTTAGCTTTAACACCTACTAGCACCTGTAAGACAACAGCTGAGTTTAAGTGAATTAATTGCTATTTCAAGTTTGGAACTTCAAAAACAAAGAAGGATAATGACCCCCCTAGACCTTCTTCTCAAACAAAACCTTATGGCTTTGATTCTTGGCTGTCCAGACGACCTGGAATTGGTCATCCTTTTGTTGTCTGAAGTGCAAAAAAACAACCTGGCACCTCTGAAGTCCTTCCGAATTTGGATCCTTCCTGTGCCCTTCCCACTGTCTAGATTAACCTCTCCATGTTAATCTCCTCTGATGCTTGCAGTGTGGCCTACATACACATACAGATGAGGAGACTGATACATAGTCCTAGAACCAATTGCTTAACACTGCAAGGGCAAGATTAATAAGAAATGCATTCAGCGCCAGGCCTCTCCTGTGGTGGTTCTGACCCTCTTGGGGAAAGGTTCAGAAGATGGAGGAGCAGCCTTTTTGTACAGAAGGCCTATTCTGAATGCAACCCCCTCTGTGATGAACACAAGCACAGTTCATAATAATTTAGCTCATTTGCCTATTTTATTCATAACTCTGTGCTTTAAGGAGATACTAAATTTCTTAACCTAATTTTCAGCGCAATTTAGCAAAGATGCCCACAAGAGAAATTATTAATATAACTTAAACAGTTACAAATACTTCAAGCATGCTTCTGTATAGCAGTCACAAATAGTTGGGTTAACAGGCAGGGAAGAAAACCCATGGTGCCTTCACTGGGCCAGCAAAAGTAGGATGATAAAATGCATCAGTATGATACCATTTAGACTTCCTAATCGTTCTAGTTGTTAAAGTGAACATATTGTAAAATATGTCTTTAAAATACAAAAAGTGTTCCCAAGAATCAAAGACATCAGCACCCAATACTGGAAAAGAGATCCAGAAACACTAATTAACACAAAATCCTAAAAATTACAAGATAAAACAAGTCAACTAGGAGCATCAGCGCTGTCAGTATCAACTTTTCTGCCAGGGCTCAAAAGCAACATCTGGAAGAAAGAAAACCAAAAATGTGAAGAAGATACCCCAGTCCTTTGGGCTTTCTTGATTCAAGACTTATTCTCATGCCAGCATGGTAACACTGCAAGTACTGTGGACTTCAGTCTCAGTCTAGTATTTGATGACACCTGGCTAGTACGTGACAACCTGGGAGAAAAGTTCTGTGAAAGTTATTCAGGCATTCCCCATGTGCGAAAAAGTAATTCCTCACTTATCTATTCAGATGAACAGGACTCTGCTGGGTTTAAAAAGGTGGGGGGGGGGGGGAAGGGGAGAAAGGTACGCCCCCCCGTATACAGTATAGAGATCTGAGATTTATGGTTTGCTGATTTGATAGCTGAGATTTAGATCCTTCTATTTACTCTAAAGTTGATCTGTTTTAAGATGTCTCACTCTACACCTCAGATAACCAGCCACTTTCAAAGAGTCACTTTTAACTCCTTTAAAAATTTATGACATTATTTATCAAAAGTTGCATCAATCTTACACACCTGCACTTCCATCAGCAGGAGTCTCAGAAAGACAACACACCTTCACAAATCTAGAAAACCAAGAATTATTTGCCAGCACCTTACACTCACTGTGAGTCATATAAGCATTCCACATAACACCAGCAATATTTGTGTCACAAGTTTAGATCAGCTTTTAATGTAATAACTTCATTAGCCCCAGTCTGGTCACCAGTGTTCCTTTAACACATTATTTTCACTTACAGTGCAAGTCAATTATTTTAAATGCTACAACACCTGTATTTCCTTTGATTAAAAACACACTTGACAAATATATTGTACAATAAAGTTTATTAGCTGTTCTCCTCTTTCTAACAAATGGAATGGATAAGTGTTGATAATTCGTTACAAACCAAAGCTGATTTGGTTGTGTGACTGCCCCATGACTGCCATAAGTACATCCCTCTTGTAAACCATCAGCTGCAAACAAGCAATGGCAGGTACCAAATAAGAAGGGAATTAGAGAATTTCATTACAGAGGGTATTCTGTGTTTTGGTACAACGTATTTATGACATTCGGCACAGAAGCTTGTGCATTGTAAAAGGAGGATCTTGTGCCTGTGCAATCAGAGATGAACATGTACAGAAAAATAAAAAGTACTGTTGACTCCAAATTCTCCCTTTGGTTAAGACATGCATGTTAGGGGGGAGCTGTGAGGGGTGGTGAACACAAACACCTGAAATTCCGTAGAAAAGAGGAGAACTTGCATGTATTTTTTTCTTTTAACTAATACTCCCTGGGCTTTATGCCCAGCCACCAGAGCCTGTTTGATTTATCATAATTAAGGAAGGTAAATTCTACTTTGTAATTTTATTCAAAACAAAAAGCTAGGAGTAGGTGGTAAAAGAAAAATATATATTTTATATATATATATTTATACGTGTGCGCAACTATGTAAAGAAAATAATTCCCATAGTTACAGAGTTTAGTTAAAGAAAGTTTAATATATATATATTTATTATAACAAAATAGGCAGTTATTGTGGGTAAAATATTCATTAAAATCTGACCCCTAAGAACACACACATTTTTAAGCTATGAATCATTCTCTCATTGCCCTAATGACCATCTCTGCAGCTGTTTTCTGTATTACTGCCAATGGAAATTTGGCAGTCCTCTGAAAAATACAAGGTTTCCTAGCACCTAAACATATTTTAGGCTGAAAAAGTGTGATGACCATTACCTATAAACAATTTCTGTAAGACACTTTAAATAGTGTTTCACAAGGAAGATTAAAAACATTACACATCTTTGTCCCTAGCAATTTTACTGGCAAAAAATGAAAAAATAGATTTTAAGAATATCCATATGAAATTATGAAAATGAATATCCCTTGAGTGACTTAATGAAAATGTTAACTCAAAATTTGAAAGTTTCTCTCTAACTGCCTGGAAAAAAAAAATATTACTGTGAGAATAGAATTTTTAAACTCAGAAAATAAAACCTGAAATTGATTGCCCTGACCAAACCATGCTATTAAAGTTAAGCGTGCAAAGTTACTAATGATTTACAACTTCCTTGAATACAACTTTTCCTTCAATTGTTATGAAATTTTAAAAGAATGTCTATAAAGCTTTTTTGAAAAATCTTTGAAAGTTACTTTCCCTTAAACATTAAGGAATTTTACCAAGCAATTCCCTCCCACCCCCACCCCAAACTAATAGCTGGTCAGGCCATTCCATTGTCATGTTTGAAAAATGGCAAACCAACAGAGCACAATAATACAAATTATTTAAACTAAGAGAGACACCAAATGTAAAGCATTATGGGAACTGCAGAATGTGATGGTTAGGGTATGAACCACGCTGGAAAGAACTAGAGGCAGGCTCCACTGGAAGGGCTTAAGAGTTGTCAGATGTAGTAGGTGATGTCAGTTAGAAAATGGAAAATAAAAATCTGTTTTCATAATTTTTCCTTTGCTGGAACCCAGATGTAAGGCCCAGACTGTTCCTCTATGTTCTGTTTCACTTGGTTGTAGATTTCTTCCAGTGTGTCTCCTTGGACAATAGCTGCAAAACATAATGTGGCAATCAGCAATCATTCTTCCTAGCACCATACAGAAACCACGATGTTCCAAGCCAAGCTTCTCTTATCTGAGTGGCAAGAGGACTTCAGATTACTGAAGGAACAGACACACACTGAGATGTCTGGTTTCTGTGCTAGAGTGAAGCACATTATTGATGGCATTGCAGGACACACAAAGTACGATCTCACCCACTCAGAGGCTTTGGGTTAGGAAGTGGTTTTCACATTGCTACGAACATACACATACAACTGAGGAGGTTGTCCTCTTTTCCTAACCACGTTATTGTTTCCCTGAGTCAGTCTGCACCCTCCAGTATTTTTTCTCGTCTAACCATCATGTGTGTTTCCAACCTGACAGTACAGGGCTATGACCTCATGCAGTCACACTGAGTCAGGCTTGGTGTGATGAGACTGGTGAACTCCCCAGCTGCATCCTGAAGGTTCACAGCAAAGCTGGCTGACCTTAGGATTTCTACCTGCTAGCACTGCCTTTGCTTTTGTCCAAAAAGAGGAGGAACTCATGGAGTTTGTTGCCCAGCTAAAAGAGTTTAAGTTTTATAGACAATAAGTTTCCTCACACAGTTAAACATGCAATTTATATTCAGATGGTGTAAGTTAGATATTTTATCCAAGGATATAAAATAATTAGAAATAAGCCAATGTGGATGTGTTCTGATATATCAGAGTATAGTACCATCTGCTGAAAATGACGATGAAGTTTGAACTGTTCTTACTATACCTCAGTCTGAAAAAGGAACCAGTATGAGATAGTAACTTCAGGATCAGCACCTTGTACTAATAATCCAAGAAAAAAAGTTCAGCATGAAAGATAATTTTTGAGGTAGGCCAGATTTGCTCTTTTGTGCATTCATGGGTTACTGCTGCTTCCAAGCTTTCCCTTCATGCTAATTACTTCCGTTTTATTCCTACTCATCATTCCCATCTCTTAAAAACTTTCTTCCCATCTGCAGCCCACTGTCATAGTGCCTGTAGGAAGAGGCTGTTCAATTATTATAGGTCAAGTATAATGTTCACAGCACTACAGTGCATTAGAAAGATTCAGAAATGACTTTGCAATGCAAACAGCCATAAGCTTTAGCATCTCACTTCTCTCTAGCTGTGTTTAACCACACCTCTTCCAAAGCTCAGTACCCTCCAAACAGAAGATGGATGCACTCTTCATGTGCTTCAGTACAAAGTTTAAGTTGTTTAAACTTAACCTGCTGATGAAGTTGATTACAGTTGCCCCACACAATGTGGGTTTTTTAGCAGATTAGGGAATGCTCACATATCCTGTTTTACCACCTGACTTATATGGTTGGCAGCCTCCAAACTAAGTAGAAAGTAGGATCTGTAATGTCTTCAAGTATCCCAAACAGATTCAGAAAAGGATTTCTGTCCTGAAGTGGATTATCAAGGACACGCAAGTCTGACTGTTGTTAGCTTTGTCAACAAGCCTTATACTTATGATCCTGAGCACTAGAGCACTTAAAAATGCCTACAGGTGTTTGAAACACCTTGAATTATATCCTTGAAATTTTCCTGAAAGTGTCCTATATAATGCCCTGAGACAGCCTGGGAGAATACCAGCTACTGAGTAATAACTATGAAAATAAACTCATTTCCTGAACAACAAAACCTGACATATTTGCCAGTCATTTTGAAAGGGACTCTACAATAGGAAAAATTTACAATGTATGTTGAGACTCACATAGATTTCTGGGTGCAGGCAGACAGAGCGCTATGAGAAGAGTAGGAGAGCTAGATGTAGTATTGAGATAAACTGACAGCTGCAAGGCAGCAGAGAAAGATGGAGGTAGGCAAAGGAATGGACTCAAGTTTTTCACTGTGTGGGTAGCACACAACAGAGAGAATAAGGCAGCAGGAAGACCAGGGGAGGGAGTCTACTGGTTCCATTATCTTCCTCCCATGTGAAGCCACCACTCCTTCCCTGTGCCTCTGCCCAAGTGGAGCAGACTGTGGCATTTGCAGCTCTGCCCACACAAGGTGTGGAAGAAGGACCTGGACAGAGGTGCTATGTCACAGAAACGAGGTGAATGGGGCAGCAAAAACTGAAACCCTGCAATAGATCATAAAGAGAAGGAAATGAGCAAGTGTCTCTAGGACAGGAATAGGGAAGGCTCATTTCTGTCCTCCTGAAGATCCTGACTTGATCTATCTTCCCTTACTGCAAGCCACAATGCAAACAACTGGCATGCTTGAGTGCTTGTAGCTAACTGTTACAGTTACGTACACAGCATACACTAATTCAATTTGCCAAGTGCCATTAATACTGTAGCGCCTAATTTCCAGAGGCTAGATTAATTACCATAATTTTTGATCATCTTCCTGATTTAAAAAAAAAAGGGGGAGGGGGAGGAGGGAAATTCATCCTTTTCTACAAGGAGCTTTGCTGGGCAATCTCAGCTCTGCAAATAAAAAGCTTTAAGCATATAGTACAGCAACAAAGCAAACATCAGCACTACAGTAACCTAGGGAAACAGTAGAAAGTCTCAGAGTTTTTAAAAATATAAATTAAGTTCCAAGTAAATTTTTGTATATACTGAATTAATCTATCAAATTGAAATCAGTGTAGAGGTACTAAGATGGCTCTGTGCCTCAAAACTATTATAGATCATCCGTAAAACAAAGTACAGCCTTATCTCAGCAGTGAGGCAATTACTATTTTACAGAAAGCAATAAAATCTCGACTCTGGCAAGGGGAACAGTCCCAAGGAAAACACACCTGTGAAGTGTTCAGTAAATTCTTGCTCCAGTTTCATGGCTCGCTCAAATGTCTTCCTGGCTTGCTCTTCCGTTAAGCGTTTATTCATTTCCCTGAAATTGATAAAATTATACATATAAAAACATTATACATTTAAATACTTGGAGCCTTTTAGAATAAAATTTTAAACTGTTGTCACAGTACTATCCTCAAAAAGAGGCAGTCTCCTAAATGAGATACTAAGCAAAGATTGTAGTAGGAATGAGTTGTTCTGATACTATGTTGGATGGAATTTAGTACGATGGCATCTGTTCTCAAGCACTTTAACTTGGATTAGAAACCCCCTTTAAAAGGCTCTAAAAAGGCAACTCAGAAACTTAAATATCATTCAAAATGCAAGTATTACATTTATTTTCACATAACTTGCAGTTGGCTTTTTAAATACAATGACAGTGTCAAACAATTGAGCCTAAGGTACTTCACTTTTACTCACATGATATTTTCCACTGTTTTGGGTTTAATAAAAATGGAGATTGGGTATAGCTGAGCAATCTGCAACCTTTTGATCGCATTACCAGAAACATCAAGAATGCAATGTTTACCCTAAAAAGTGAGAGAGAAGGGAAAATGATACTAAGCAGTTTATGTCACAGATATCTACTGTAATAATTAAGCAAACATGTCTCCACTGAAGCCAAAAGGATTAGAGCATTTGCATCAATATGATTTCACCACTATGGCACAAAGTCCCACAATGCTTCTCTGTTGAGATCATACATCATTTGAGATGTTCCTGACCATCCTTCCTTCCTTTCCCCACAAGAGGCTGGAGAATCAGCCCAATCAGCAATGCAGAATTATCTGGAGAAACAGCTGTACTTCAACCACACCAGCAAAATTATTATTCATTTTAATAATTAGAGGATTCTTTATGGAGGTGGCCATGTCACAGATGCATTTTAGAGATAAGCCAGATGATTTAACTGGCATACCTAAAGGAGCAACCACCCCTGACGCAAGGAAATATGCCATCATCAGAATCGTTAGATGGAAATGAATACAAGCACGCTCCTCCCCCACAGGTACCACACAGTACAACACCAGGTTTGAGATGGTGAATGCAATTTATCTGGGCTGATTATTCCTTCACCTTTTGAGAAGCATATATAACTTAACCATTTCTTGGGCTGTTGGAAGACTATGTAGTAGGGCTGCTTTTCACCTCTACTCTCCCATATAAGTGATTTTCCAGCTCTTTGGGATATCTAATCTCAAAGGCTCTTCCTTTTCCTCAGCTCCCCTCATGCCTGATATACTCATTTCCACCTCATGCATTTTTATTTCTTTCCTTTCTGAATAGCATGAGTAATTCAGCATATTATCATTTCAGAAAGGGATGGGAAGAGAGGAACAGAAAATGACTGTCAGTCAAGTAAAGCAGCAAAGCTTTTTCTTTAGCGGGAGAAAAATGAATGGCAGAATTCTGTGAGCCAGGAAAGAGACTCACAAGCACCATAAACCCAAAGGTTACTTATAGCATACAACACACTTCCTGAACTCCTGGGAGATCATTCCTGGAGAGCATGTTGAAGAGCAAGGAAGTGACTGACATGTTTCTCCTTCCTGGCAGAAGACATCACTAGGATCAATTGCATTTGATCTCTTGCACAACAAAACCACAGAATTTTACTTCAGGAATTTTTGAAGAGGATAGAAGTGTTCTTTCCATATAGATATTGCTCACTTTCAACTGACGACAGCTGTTTCCCAGATCCAGTTCACAGATCTGGATGCTGACTGGTGTCATTTAAGAAAGCTGTTTGCATGTTCTAGCAGAGTATTTTACTGCACGTGCTGGCCTGTCCACATATTTCAAATGGTTTCTCTTTAAATATGGCACAAGCTCTGGGAACTGAGAATTAAGAGCATTGTCTGGTCCATTTTCCTTTTTGCAATAAGACACTTCGTATTTGCTGTGTTCAGCCCAACAATTGATGCCAGATGCTAAAGTATTTTGGGCAAAGCATGTGAGCATAATACCTGTGCTGGACCTTACAGAATATAACTGTGACAGTTTATTCCAAATCAATATTGAACATTCATTAACAGTGGCCTCAGATACAGAGATCTACAAGCTGCTAGCAATTCCAAAGAAGAGAATATGAGAATACTATTCATGTGAAGATTGGAAGACAAGAAACACAAGTAATTTGTGATACAGTTACTTAGTTTTCATCCAGGGAAGCTATTTTGCTCTTTGCACAGTGTATTTAAACTTTTTTTGAATTTTTTTTTTTTTTAAATTCCTTACTTTCACTGCATCTCATTGAGAAACACAGCACAGCATCTAAGTGCTCTTTACAGTAACTGAACATCATCAAAAGGCATCTTCAGCTGTGTTCCGTACAGGCATGAAAATTAGAGAGAGCGATCAGCTGGAAGCATGAGCAAATGAAAGCTATTTATAACTACTGCAAGAATACTGCTTCTGCTACTTTTGGGGTAGTAGCAGTCACTTCTGTTGCATCTTCCCTTAAATACATCATAGAAAACTTGGAAATGGCCCTTTGTATCCCAGTAGTAAGAGCCACCGAAGAGACTATCTCTTAAGTGGGACAGAAAGGAATACAAGGAGGGAGTAGTCCCAGACAGACCAGTTCACAGCCCTGTCAAGATTTTGAAGTCAAGTTCTGCAGAATAGGCCATTGTTTCCCAGAAAAAATAATGTAAGCTGGAACAGAGAAATTGCCGCATCTACCCAAAAATCCCATGGTGCCTATGCAAGAGATTTAATAGCATGGAGACATCTGGTAGTACTTAATTCTTCATGTTAGTTTATAAAAGATTAAAATCCATTTTGTACCTTTCTAATCCCACTAGATGAGCAGAAGAACAGAGTCAATTTCAGGTCTAGGATGGAACTGAAGGACTGTATTTGTGCTAGCAGGTAAAGCAACTGCCGACAAGTTTAGAATTTTTAAGCTGTTCAATAAATAGTTTCATCATTGAACCCCATATGATAGTTTCACAACTTTGTTCAGCCTCCCATACAGAGTACTGTTCATTTACTTAAGTAATTTTGCAATTTATTTTATTTACTTTTCTTGCTATATACCATGGGACCAGGTTCTATTCCAGAGTGAGAAAGACAGCAGAAGAAAACTTCATCACATGAACTACAGAATCTCACCATATTTGCCCTGTTTTCAATTCCAGTAAATTACATTGACAGAAATAACAATACTCAGCCATTTGGCCAGAATGGCCTAAGCTGTTTTCCAGAGGACTAACTACACTCCTGTTTCTCACAGGTGAACCACACTTACCCCCTGCATGACCATACTGAAAGTGCTCACACTTGTGAGCTCCCACCTAGAAAATAGCTATTTCTTCTCTCATACAGATCAGATAACATTGTCTACTGTAAATGCACCAGATCTGTGGACAACTCATCAACCTCACATGGAACACTTGCAAAGAATTTTCACCAAAAATTTTCCTTAAAACAGGCATCTTACTCAAAGAAATATACTTCACTCTTTCCACATTTTTCAGAGCACAAGAAAACTTTGGTTTGAATTTAGAAATATTTAGATTTTTCAATAAACAGTTAAGTAAAATCTGGTCAGGATAAAGACAATAAGCTCAGTCTCCATAATGCAGTGGTGGTTATGTAAAAAATCTGATAATTTAATTTACTTTTTTCCCCTTTACCAGCTAAATCCATGAATGGCACAAAGAATAGTATTTTTACAAGTTTGATTTTTTTTTTTTTGCACAAGCCTGCATCAAATGGATCATCATATTAATTGAAACCAGCATCACTATTATGAATTATTTAATGATCTATGTATGTGAGCTAGGCTAATTAGCCTGTAGTTCAAATTATTCCTTCTCTATTCTCTTTTTATTAAGAGTGCACAAACTATGGTTGCTCTTTCTCCATAATTTAATCATGATGCTTTCATTATTACAAAGCTTCATTATTTCGCAAAACGCATTCGTGACAATGTGCTTTGTTTCTAGTGTTGTACAAATTCCTTTTAAAGTCAGGATGCTCCTAATGGCTTCTTGCCGTTCCCTTCTCCCCTGTCAGCACAGTCAGATAACCACATCTGTAAATGAAAGTATCTGGCACTGATTTACCTTTTCTGCTACTTCTCGCACTGATTGGACGCTTGTTCCATAAAGATGATTATTGTACTGGCCAGCTTCAATAAATTTGTGATCCTGAATATCCTTCTCCATTTGCTCTCGAGAAGTGACAAAATGGTAATCACGTCCATCCACCTCATAATCTCGCTTTGGTCTAGTAGTATCTTTAAATATAAACCAGTGATTTTTAAAGCAAACCAAAAAAGTTACTTTTTTTCCCCCGTAAAATAACCAAAAATAGTCTTCCATTTATACCACAAAATTTTCACAAGCAAAGAGACGACTGACAACCACAGTAGGTTTGTGAAGTTTAGACAATACATTAACTTTTTTTAAACTCAACATACAGAGGATGCCTTTTAAGAAAATTAACAGGAAAAAAAAAGTAATTTAGAACTGCTTTAAGATTTGCTGAGACTTACGTGGAACACATGAGCCAAATTTGTCTGGAAATTCTGAGATCAGATCATCATTTATTCTGTCTTTCATGGGTCCCAAAACGATCACAGGTCGAGTGTAACTGACTATTAAAGGAATAACATTAGGTACATTTCAGTATGTTTGCTAACTTTCAGAGTTCAGAAAAGTAATCTTTATCACATATTAATGATTATAATACCTAAAAGAATATGCACTCTTAAAGAGAGGAAAAACATGTTGAAGAATGTAAACCAACTAATACAGTATGATGTTATGCCTTCACTCTTGAACAACTATCCTGGGTGACTGAAATCTTACATTATGAAGTCTTGGTTTAAAAAAAAAAAAAAAAAAAAAAAGTAGAATCCCTCATTCTAAAGGAAAAAGCAAAAGGGGGAAGTCTGAAAATCTCTTCAATTTAAAGAGGCACTTAAGCAGCAGCAGAATTCATTAAATTCTAGTTCTGTGTTGGGAGAAGCTTCTTTTCCTCTAAGTCCACAATTATATAATCATATATGAAAAGACTCAACTATATATAGCTTTACTAACTATATTAACATCCCTATAAACTGAAGTGTAGCATTTTTTTAAGCAGCTTTATTTTTTATGAAGTTATAAAGGGCTTTTGGAAATTAACCTTAAGCAGAAAACACCCAATTAAACTTCAAGAATCATGAAGAAAATAATGTCTGACTATCTTAGTATTAGCATATTAATTACCATTTCATAAATTTTACTTTTAGCTTCAAATTGTCTTTACTTTTAGGTTCAATATGTCTTTACTACACAGATAAATCCAAATTAAATAGTCTTTTAAAATACTTTTAATTTAAGTCTGAGAACTATCTCCTTTCCAGGGTATTAATCATAAAAGGAATGTCCTGAATCCAGGAACTGTTGACCTATTCATTTAACAACAAAAATCTTTACTTAAAGGTTAAGGGCAGCCCACAAGTATCTCAAGTCCGAGCACCTTTAAATCTATTTTGGTTATTACAGTTCTTTATTCCTTTGGGCTTCTTGGGGAAAAAAAAAAAACAAAATAAATTACTGTGCAACTGAATTATTAGACAAATGTAGATAAACATATGCAGGGAATGTATTACTGTTCCTAAGCAGAGGAATGAGGTGCTAGCTCTTTTATGGCCTTCCCATACAATGTGTTACACTCAAAGGGAATTACAGTCATGTATGTAAATGCCAAAGCAGTTCATTCTCTAAAACCTTGAGTTTTACAATATGACAGTTACTAAAGCATCAGCTTGTGCAAAGTCTCATTCACATCCCGTCTCTTTAACCTTAATTCACTTGATATTTCTATTGTTCTCACTAAATCAGTAATTATCCAAATCTGGGAAGTTAATGCCAGCTGAAAAGATGTTTCTCATTTTGTGAGCTCCTCTGGTGTGTGCACTTACACAGATTCGGCAGCTGCTCATCTGGAGGCAACAAACCTCTGGTTCCCTAGATGAGGTAGAACTTACTTAGCACATCAAAGAAAGCCTACCATTTCCCCATTTCTAGCATGGTCTTAATTTGTGCATTTCTCATCCATGGTTTTATTTGGAGCCTACGATTATTACAAATTATATGATAGAAATAATGCAATTTGTGTTTGTCTTGTATAACAAATTTTGCTACTCTTGGAAGCTTACTGACGAAATGGAACCCATATACCATGATTAACAAGTTGGAGTGGAAAGTCTATGTAGGCGTGCATGTTTTGTAATGCTATTAGAAGAAACTGGGCTGTGCCACTCCCTGCACAAAACCAAAAGTGAAATCTTGACATCCATAAGTCATGTAAATATATTATGTATATTTTGTTTGACTGCCACCTTATTTGTTAGCTAATAGACATCAAGGATCCCCAAAGAACATCCCTTTTACAGATTAATTTACAAATACATAAGCTATGTATCAGAGAACGTAAATCAACTGTTGGTACCTGTGGTGAAAGGGAACATTAAAAATTCTGTATCTATTATACACAGTGAAGCAAGATCAAGACCAAAGGAATGATAGCATCCCAGTGGAAATCAGTGAAAAGCATTTTGTTTTAAATGCAAGTGTGAGAAACATAAGAAAACTACAATTTGGAGAAGAGAAGGCTCAGGGGGTACCTTATCGCTCCTTACAACTGCCTGACAGCAGGATGGAGCCAGGAAAGGGCTGGTCTCTGCTCCCAAGGAACAAGGGACAGGACAAGAGGAAACGGCCTCAAGCTGCACCGTGGAGGTTTAGATGGAGATGAGGAACAATTCCTTTTCCAAAGGGTGCTCAGGCATTGGAAAGGCTGCCCAGGGAAGTGGTGGAGTCACCGTCCCTGGACATGTTCACACGCCGTGTAGACAAGGCCCTCAGTGCAATGGCTTAGTGGTGGCCTTGGCAGTGCCGCGGTAACGGTTGTATTTGAAGATCTTAATGGTCTTTTCCAACCTGACCGATTCTATGATTCCTGAGGTTCACTCTAACAGAATTGTTAAACGCACCATATTTTCCTTGCAATGTAAACCATGCATAAGTTATTTTAAGTAGCAGACCTTTTGTTCTGTTTTGTTTTGTGCAAAACAATTTAGCAATTCCATCTAATAATTTATGCCTTTGTACTTCATTTATGTGAATAAGGGTAACAAGCTCTAAACAATGAAGTTTGCCATGGTGCTCAGAACATAAGGGCACATGAAGTGTTCTGATAATTCAGATGATATTTTATAATGAGTAAGATCTACAAACCTTCTTGTTGATTGACTGGTTCATATGACAAGACATATTCCTCCTGGCCACCTACAATGTAAATGCAAAGACATATCTATCTATTTTTTTTTCTAAACCAACACATTTAAATTGAGTCATTTAATGAACTATAATGATACAGTCATTCCTTAGTAATATGCATTACAATGATATTGATGAAGCACACTTTTCAAGAGCAATGATTTATAAAAATCACAAAGATAAGCCAACACAAAATTTTAAAGCATAAGACACATACAGTATAAATAATTGCCTGGTTTCTGTTAGCATGGTGAACTGACATCAAGCACAGAAAGGATTTTAAAGCATTATTGCAATGCTCGTATACACGTTCCCCTAATGAAATGCATGCATGCACTCACTGCTATAGGCAGTGCCACCTTCATCATCAACATTCTCCACACTTTGAAGCCACCATTTAAAATAATATTTTTCTTGTATTTATGCAGGGCTGATGACCATGTTCGTCCCAGTGTACATATCTTCCATTAACTTTCTCATGAAGTGGTATTTATATAAACATCCTCAACCACTCTAAATTCTACCAAAAATTATGACTGTATATACTAAATAACAGTTATTTTATTAATGAAGTTTTAAAGATGAAGTTGGAAACAAAGAATGCTTTGTGCTGTTCTCAGCTCCAGAAAGCACATCAGCAGTGAATGAAACTAAAGTAACTGAATTTTGACCTTCAACAGCTGCAGGCTTTTAAAATGTTAGTGAAAGCATCTGAAATATACCACAGTTGCCATCTCTCTAAAAGATTATTTCTAGTCTAACAAGGTACGTCCAAGTAAGATTTTATGCACTGAAATCACTAAAACTCTATGACAGCAGAGAATTTATAATTCTGAAAACAGAAGCTCAGATTGCACGACATTACTATGAACTTTGATCAAAATACAGTCCTTTGATAACTCACTTGTATAATTTTGGAACATTCTTTGGAGTTTATAAGCCATTCTCATAACGGGCCAAGGAACATACCAATGCTGTACCACAGTTGTATAGAAACAGATGGCAGATGAAGGTTTGTATAAATTCATATATTGCTTCTATATATCTAGTCTTTATTTCATAGCAAGTATCATTGATCTTTTAAATCAAAAAATTACCATTAAGACAAATATTTCTCTTATTTGCAATAAATTGCATTCAAACTGTACTACAGCAATATATGAATGAACATTTTTTAAATTACTGCAAGTGAGGAACAGACACAAAAACATGCAACCTGCGTATTATAGTATCTCAAAAAGTAACTCATGCAAATGGATTTTAGGACAGTATATACTTTCAGAACCCCTTTTAGGCTAGGGAGAGAAATAGGGAATCACCAGCTATAAAGTCAACTGTGAAAGATCCAGCTCACACATAATTAGATATTTCTTTGGAGAAGTCACACTGTTATATAGTCAAAAATTACTTAGGCAAACTACTAAAGAGCTAATAACAAGTAAAAAGCATCCCCTGATTGAGGGCAAAAAGTATATATTGTCACTGCTTTTTAATACTTTGGAAAAAATGAGTATTAATAGAATGAACCTTTTGAACAACCGTACTCATCTGTAATCAAGATAACTTTCATATTAGACAGCAGTAAGAAGAAATTAAAAAAATATATTTTAATGAAAAGTGCTTGCAATTACACACATAAATAAGCAAATCCATGACATTCATAATAAAATCAGGGCTTCCCAAACAACAAGGGAGTGAAAAACTAACTAGCAGTATCAACCACGAGCTTTAAACAAAAATAAAGCAAGCTTTGAGAAAAAGAAGGGAAGAGAGGAAAGCAGCAAACTTAGGAAGAAAGAGCCATGGTTAGATAGTTTTAATGGCATGTCATTAAAAATGGTTAAAATGTGTAAGTTTATCAAAGGCAACTTCCATACATGTTCAATTTTATGTTATTCTCAGGGAACACAAATGCCTCCCCCAAATGGTTTCTTTTCCATTACAGTCGACAGCACTGTTAGCATTTTATATACATATATCAATTCTTCCCTTGACTGCCATCATCTGGAAGAAAAAATGTGGATCATCACCTCTGAGAAGACCCACAGCTTCCAAACAAATATATCTGCTAACGAATGCCCTTCCTTATCACCCTAACATAAACCATATGCTTCTGAAGCATTCACATAGTTTCAGCAGGCAACTAGCAGCTGCTCATTAAGCCATCAGTGTCACACTGCAAGACTCCTGTTGTTCCTTTTTCTCATATTCCTCTTCAAATCCTCAACTTTTTCACCTTCCTGCTCTGCTCTATCATGGGTTCCAGGTCTGGACAGTGCACCTTACTAAGGAGACATTCTCTGGAAACAACCAGTGGAATTGAAGTTCTGGCTCTGTTTTAAGACATTCACTGTAGAGCAGCATTGTGATGCATCATGACCAACTGTTAACACGTAGTACCGCTGTAGCTTGGGCTAATAAAAAAAGCTAACTCAGTCTAGTATTTGAAATATGTGATGTCTTGAGAGAATGTGCATGTGTGCCTAGCATGCTGATTTATCATAACTGACTCCAGCACTGAATGTGTATCGTATGCTTTGAAGACAGTTCATACTAAGCACCCACACTTGACAAAATAGTTAAGTGAAAGCTGAAAGCAATGGTAAATACATGTTTGCTTATCTTTACTTTCATTAGAAGCATAAATACATTAGAACTATCTGTTGTGAAAAAGTGTAGTTATTGCTCTATTTAGCAGATTACATTTTAGTTACACTTCCAGTATTAAGCTCAACTAAATATGTTTGTTAGCATTAAATTTACATTTAGGTTTTAATAGGTCTAGATAGCTCACAAAACTTCTAAAAAAAACCAGCAACAGGTTCAAATTAAGCTGAATTAAGAAAACCATAGATTGCAATAAGATTATCTATAAAGGAGGTTTGCAATGATGCTCTCTAGCCAGTTTTTTAAAAAAACAAAAAGCACAATTTGCAGTTCTCCACCAAATACATGAATATGGGTTTCACCTGAAGGTGACCTGGAAGTTCTATATAACATGTAAATACCCAGACAAGACAAACAAACAAAACCAAAGAAAGAAGTACTAAACAAAGGTTCTAAATAAATAAAAAACTTAAAAACACTTACGGTAACTACTTTCACTATCGCTGGCATTAGAGGTTACATGCTCTGAAATTGCAACACAATGGAAAAAAAAATAAGGAACATACACTAATGGCATGGGTCCAAAAGAAAGCAAACTGACACAAAATAATCCAGATGAAAGACAATACTGACATCAAAATGCTGAAATCGATACATATCGCATATAAAAGTTTTAAGGTACTTCTCATAGCTGTCAGGATCAAGCTTAATTTCATATGAAAGGAACTGATGTTAATAAAAAAGAGAAACATTAAATAGCACATCAAAATAAGATTACAAAAAAGCACACTAATGCATAGTTCCTATCTAACCCTGCCATTTTTAGGTTTTCACTTCAAGATGAATTCTATTGTGAATTATGGGGTTATGCATTTCAACTTTTATGCAATTTATTGATTACATTAAGAGTCTTGTATCAGAAAATACTGTATTACATTGCAGTAAATATGGTGTATTACCTTCAATAATAGGCACTTTTCTATGCTATATTAAGTATCTTACTTGAAGTGCAATGCAAAATTAAGATTTTTTTCTTCCTCCACCAATGCTGTAGTTTTCAAAAGCTCCCAACTTTTATTCTGGACTCTACATTAATTTCATGCCTTTTGTGTAACAATCTAAACACTTCAGTAGCTACAAGGTTCAGATTTACTTTTTTAAGCTATGTAACTGTGTTAAATATGTTTATGATCAAAATTAATGCAACTGAAGAATTTCAGGTATCAATCTATTCCTTTACTTGAAAATTCTATAAATTGGGTGAACAAATATGAACTCTGACATTGCTGAACTTTATCATAAAGAACCCTTTTTCATGCCACCCAATGAGTGTGTCTATTTGTAGGGAAAACAAGTAACATTCACAGGCTAAGACTGCATAAAGAAGCTTGTGTTTGACCTGTACAAATTAAATACAATTAATCTGAAATTATGTACCTGTCTGCATGTGGTAATACATGTGATAATACATACTGTTGTCATGAGGAGCCTTTATAATACATTAAATTCAGTGTGGTTCCTCCCCTACAAGACTTAAGAGAAAGAAGCAAGAGGACTCAGGAGGTAGGAATACAGTTAATGAAGCAAGTATGCTTCTAATGATTAATAAACATTTTTAAATGTTAGTCATCATATGTAAATTAATTAACCTTTTGAAATGTTTTTGGATCAAGTAAACTGATTTCTTTAAATCACAAATCTCTGGCTAGACTGAACTCCCTCATTTCATTTCTGTGCAGAAAAACCAGTCAGGTTTTCTGACTGGTCAACTAGTTGACCTGTTTGTGAGTACTAAATTTGGATCTACCTCCATTCAATTTTCTTGTCTTGAAAAAACAACGTCCACATTGGCATGGAAGAGGTAAACTGTGATGCTTAAAAGACTCTTGACTGAACATGAAAGGGAGACACTGTCAATTGAGAATACAAGGTTGTGATAGTCTGATAATGGTCAGAACTGGTAAAAATATAAAGCCAAAAATGCCTTCAAGAACAGCAGTCTTGCAGAGCCCATGTAACACAGCTTGCATTAAGTGGGGTAAAGGCAGTTTCAAAAAGTCTGACTGTGCTGAAAAACAGACTAGAATCCATTTGTTTTTATAACAAAATCACCTACTGACATTCCTGTAGCATATTACACAGTTTAAACTAGGTATTATCATACAGCCATAAAAGCTGCTTATGATCTGCTGTAAACAATAAGGCCATAAAGGTTGCTAAGGTCTTCCAATCTAGACTGAGAATTTCCTTGAAAGCAGCCATTTCAGAAATGGAAGATTAATATTATAGCTACTAGAATTTTTATTTAATGATTAAGACAAACTATAGAAGTACACTGCTTCTCGCATGTAATTTCAGGAACACTATGCATAACAGTTATGCGCTGGGAAGAAGTGTTCTTCTCAATGACCTTTAGTCACAGATCTTTAGTGACTAATTTTGCTATTCTATAAATGTATCAGAACGTATGTGTTGAAAGCAAGCTTTTGACTTTTTAAATTTTTTTGTCATTTTATTTGTCATTATTTGTCATGTAAAGTGGTGGTATCTGTGTAGACCAACATATCTGTTAGGATTACTCCTCAAGCTTTGAATCCTACTGTTCAAGCAGTTAACATTTCTGCAAGAAACGCAACAAATGTGTCTCCTCTATCAGCTCCCCCTCTACCTGGTCCAAAAGCATCGTAAGAGGTCAAATAGGACAGAAAAATTCTCATGGCATTTGTTAAGCAGTTTGTTTGTTTTAAGTAGCTGATGTAGAAATCAGTCACCTAGAGAGAAGAGTGAAAACTGTAACTAGTTAAAGTATTACAGGAATTGTTGTACTACTACTGTAAAAATCTGTAAGTTACTTTAAAATAAATAAAAATGCAAAAACAAGGTAAATGTAACAAAGAAAATAATCATCAAGTTTAAAAACACAGTACTGTTAAGGACAAACAAATGTGTGCTGGTAAGCTTCTGAACAACAACAACAAAAATATAAAATGTGACAGTCACAAAGTAATATGTTCCTGAAAGCAAAAAACCCCAAAACATTACGAATCAGAAAAAGTTTACGCAACACTTTTAAAGTCAGCCTCCTTATGCCAGTAGAACACCAGTCTCAGAGAGATCTGTTAAAAAAAAATAGTAGTAATTTTTCAGACGGAGGTTAAAATAACTTGGGAGTATTTTGATCACTTACTCAGGCCTTTTGATCCCATGTCGTCAGGGACCTCCTGCAGAGTAGTCCCCAGAGGGCAAGCAATAAAAAGACAATCACAAAGAAAATAATTGTCAGTAATTTATAAAATTGGCGCTACGACAGGAGACAGTTCCAAGAACATCACAGGGGAAGATAAGTCTCTAGGATTTGACCTGACTGGCACATAATCAGTGATGCAAATGGCACAGAAACACAGTTTGCAGCAGACTTGGTCTGCATTAGCAAACTTATGCAACTGCTTTTGGAGAAGATACTTTTTTAGTGCTGGCAACAGTGATGAAAATCAAAGTAAACTCTCTTCATTAGGAAAACCAAATTAGAATTAATGACTTTGAAGAAACCAGTCTAAAGGGACTGATTCAAGAAGCTGGTATGCTCCATTATACTTTCATCACTGCTGTGCCCTCTCCTCCAAGTCAGAACAAGGAACCATCACCGACAGCGCTGGAAGGCTGCTGTCTCCTCCAGTTATGTACGTACTGTCACTCAATGTATTACCCATTTTATTCCAGAATGGGATGCTCCTGGGTTAAATTTTACTTCAGCAGCAAACAAGCAGCTGTATTGATTTTGTAGATTGGTTTGTCATTGGCATCTCAAGCTCCATTAGCCTGTTGCAGCTCATGAAACTGTCTCCATAGTAACACCCTACTGCAAGCTAGCAGGCCCTTCTACGTGTGCTTCACTCTCCATCGGATGCCACATACTTACGGTCAATATCACTGGTTTCCTGCTCACTCTGGTCCTTGTTCTTGTAGAAGGGAAATTTTCGGGAAAAGAGGTTCTTTTTACGCTTGTCATTGAATGACTGCTGAAGAAGAGAAGGAGGGGCAAAACAAAGGATGTCTAATGTCTGTGTGAACAAAGGCCCAGACCAGCAGCTTTGTGGAAGCTGACTCCTATAACCACATTATGCAGTGCATATTTAGTTTAACACTATATTCTCAGTTCATTAAAAATAGAGATTGGGATCATGGCTTTGCTCACACCCTCCCTACTTAATATGCTTCACATGTACTGAGAGAACTGGCAGGCTGGTTCATCCTCCATGGCCTGACCCGTATTTCACAAATGTAGGCTTCCTGGGAGTGTAAAAAGATGTGAAAAAACTAGACTGCTAGAAGATGGCCAAACCATAACGAATTCAAAGTCAATGAAATCACTGATACTATCTACTATAGAGACTACAGTATTTTAAAAGAAAAAAATAAATGCTGAGGCTTTAAACAAGCTTTTGCAAACAGCTGACATCGTAATAGCACACCAGAAGCATCTGCCAGTGTTACCCACTTGCAAAAGTGAAACTGTAAATACTCTGGTGACAACTGCTAAATGACAAAAAGACAATGGAAGCTAAAAGCTGGCACTGTACTGAATGTTCTTATGATAAAACTAAATAACAATAAAATAGGAAAACAGGAAAAATAGAAATGTGCCTAACTAAAGTATCCAAACAATAAGAAAAAAATCCAAATGGAACAACCAAAACAAACCTATATTTGTTGCAATCTTTCACAATCGTGATTCATTGCAAGTTCAATGAAAGAAATTATTTTGCTCTACATAAGTCTGCATCCCGATACCAAGATTAACTTCCAAATGACATAAACTGATTTCCTTTTTTTCCCCCCTGTGGCAATTATAGCATTTATAGAGAAACAACACATGAAAAAATGTATATCCAAGGCTTATGTTCAACAACTCTTGACATTAGCTGCTTGCATTGTTGAAGAATTTCTGCATCTCAGTTGCTACAATAATTTCTAGAGTTACCTACATATACATGCACATACCCACCCATCTGAACATATAAACTATTACTGTGCTCCTTGTGTATAAGTGATGGGGAGCATCAATGTATTTTCATTCATGTACAAATATGTCTACGGGTATAATTAACACAGAATTTAGTAGCATCTGCCGTATCTTCTGCTCAAGACATTATGTGAATACAGCACCTTTAATTTACTGTTCTACAACAATAAAGAAGCTCCATGTACAAATAAATCAGTAAATTTTTTATTGCAGTTATGCCCTGCACTACAATACAGCTTACGTGGAGCCAGCTAAAATTTCTTTTCATCTTTAGGCATGAATCATCTGACCAGTTTTGCCAAGACATGAAAATCTACCATGTTTTTGTCATTTGGGTTGCAGAAACTCTATTAGGGAAAGTAACAGAAAAAAGTAAAATGCCCAAAACTTGATGTTGAGACCCTACTGCTGCAGGGGGGCTGCTGATTTCTAAGCCAAGAAGAGCCCATGTGCAGCAGGAAGTGCTAAAACTTCCACAGAATGGATTTTTAAAAAGCTACTTTAAAAAAAAATGTGTATTTTAAATTCATACATGAAAGACTATTCACAGCTATTTCTAAAATTTGGAGCACGTTAATTTTCAAGTAATCGTCTGCCAGCTTATCTTCCTGTATTATACGCAATACAGTTGCAAAAGGTACATTATCTTTTCTACCAGCACTAAGTATGGAATGAAATATAGTAACAACTAGGGGTCAAATAGGACAAACAGTTGGCCACCTTCTTTGGTGCAGTTACAAAACTAGTACTTGGCCTTCCTAAAGAGAAGGCCTATAGTGCAACACAAAAGCTGCATCCTGCTACAGTATTGACGATCCTTCTTGCCATCTGTCTTAATACAAACTTGCCTGGCAGTACCAGATACTGAAACATCCAGGAATATCTTCATTACCACTGGGGGTGGGGTTTTGGTTGGATTTATTTTGGGGGGGTGGGGTTGCTGTTGTTTTTTTTATTACTTAAGATTACCAGGTGTTAAAGAGGGACATGGTACCATGGGAACACAGTGACACTGAGCTCTGGAAATAGCAATACTGTGTTAAGTAGGAAGTCTGTAAAACCTTTAATTGGCTGGCATCTGTGTTCAACCAGAACTGCCATTCCACTGTAAGAATTGGTGAATTATCAACCTGACATATGGACAAAAGAACTGGATTTGAGCCAATCATATGCTTGCAGGAATCACAGTTGGCATGGATGAGGTTTTAGGTTAAAGTCCTTCTGACCTTCTTAATCTGAAGTCAACAAATCATTGCAATTGACTTCTCACAACCAGAAAGGTTAATATAATCTACAGAACAAGGGCAACAAAGAAATATGTGCCTAGAGGAGATCTTTGCTGAGTATACTGCAAAATACTGTAACACGAATTTAAAAAAGTGGAAGTCCCACAGCTGTGTAATTGTTCCACTCGGACAAGTCCCTCAGTTTGAGCAAAAGAACAGGGGAAATAAATGTAACAAAGCTAAAACGGTGCAATTTAACTGAGGTTGTGAAACTCTGCTATTTGTATAGGTAAAATAAAAGGAGTGGCTGATTTACTGTACTTCATAAAACATAATCATGCTCTTCATTTTAGTTTTGAAAGTATTTCATAACCACAATTAATTTAATTTTGTTCAGTATTCAGTAAATCTTACTGAACTAATATTAAATTTTATATACTGCATGTATAATGGTCAGAGTCAGTTCCATTGCCAAAAAAAAAAAACCCAAACTAATATTATAATGATTTTGCATAAAAGATTAGCCAAAAGATTATTTTTAAAAGATACTACGATTATAAAAAGCTAGAGAGAATTGCTTATTAGTTGAAAATGCATAGTAATCGTATTAAATTTTTCATTAGCCCACTGCAAATTATAAAGAGGCATCGTAAGCAACAACATATTAAAACAGAAGCAGCACAGAAAGTGAGATGTGTATATGAAAGAAACAAACATGAAAAATTTAATCATTTCTGCTCCAACTTTTTTAGCTTTCCTCAGAATGAAAGGAACATGGATTTTAATGTTTGCCGTCACTATGGTTATTCTTTAAAGTTTTGATGTAGAAATATTGAGTAATTGTATGAAGTTGGTACTTCATCCTGCCCATGAAGTATTATCATATACAGACACAGGAAAGGACACAGTCCAGAAGGACATGTATAGTGCAGACAACTTATTGGAAAAAATATCATCATGACAAATACAGAAAGAATACCGTAAGAAGAAACCACGATGCTAAAACATTTACAGCTGAAGCAAAAGATTGTGAATAGTGTAAGCGTGTTTGCAAAATGAAATGTTACTAAAGAAAAGGAACTGCAGTTCTCTATCAATGGCAAGCGTAGTTGCTTTTCCACTCAGTATTCCATGCATATCTTTGGTGCTATGCTAGCACACAGCGGCTGTGCACTAACTCTGCTATTGTCAAAATGGTGCTTCAAATACATTGTTAATTAAGCTAATTGTTTCCAGTTTATTTGTAGACACTACAAAACCATGCAATTATCTTTCAAAGAACATGGTAACACTTGAAAAATTACTTCATGTAATTAAAATTATCTGAAATATTTAAGCTTTTGTTTGTTTGTTTTGTTTTACCTCTAAAAAGCGAGCTCAAATTATAAAAATGATCGGATTAAAAGTTACAAGGTGATAACACTATCCCAATACCAAAATATAAGTGCACCAAAACAGAAAAAACCTGCAAATAATTCACTGAACCCTCAAAGCAGTACTGTAATTGTCCATCAGAAAATAACTAGATGTTGATTTCTTTTTTAAAAAAAAGCTTACAGAAAACAGCATGACATTTACTTCATTAATAAACTAAACTGAAACCTTTGCCATTTAGCAGAGGGACGTACGTACAGATTGGACAGTCTTAAAAGTCCTACGCTATCATGATGAGGTACTGAAGCTTTAGTATTTTATAGATGTGATTTCTGAAGTAATGAAAATGTAACTGAAATAAATGACTAAAAGGAATCTTTGGACTTTACAATAATGACTGACTTACGCTACAGCATTAATGCTATTAAAACAATAACAACTATTTAAGAAATAGCTTCCTCAGAAGCTTAGAGCATGTTTCAGATTTTTAAAAATGACAGTATATTATTACTTTAGAAAGCTCTTACATCTAAAATGCATATACCTAAGTCCTGAAATTACTAGTTATACACTATTGGTAGAAATTGTGAGGTTGTGAAATTGTTTTCTCGCATGTCAAAACAACCAAAATATTGCAGAAAAGCCTCACCCTCAAAGTAATAAAAAAAAATTTGGCTGCTGTACCATTATGAAATTGCTGTAATTTTGGCTACAAACATTCCTATTGGTACTTAAGTAGCTATGCTGCTTTCTCACCGCTCATTCCCATCATGGGTACTGGGACAGGGATTGCATATTGCGCAGCGAATTGCACCAAGGGACTGACTAAACTGAAAACCTGGATTTCTTTTGGATTGAGTTATTTTTCATCTACAGTGGCCACTTTGTATGATTCAAGCCCAGTCATCACACAGGTATTCATGCCAATAGAGAGAAGCGGTGAGAAAAAACAGCTGTGAGATGGAGCCTGGTTCTGGGCAGCAATGGCACTAGCCTTGAGTTTTTGTTGGCCTATACCCTTGCATGAAATTCCTTAAAGCTTCTACATCCATGATTGTAAAACAGAAGTTAATTTATGCTGTCTCCCTACTGTGTACATTGCAAAACCTCATTTCGTCATAGGGACCCTGTCCAGCTTTACTTGCTTGTCTTTTAGATGCATTTATAAATACCTTAATGAAAAAAACATTTCCTGAAAATTGGTAGTAAGCTCCTTCCCACAAAAAGGGAGTCCTGGAATACAGTCCATGCTACCATACTAAAGGACTAAACTGCTTTATAAACAGCACTTGCAGAGCTGTTAGTAATGGCACTATTCAATACATGATTAATATCTACAACTCCTATTACCTTATCGTATTAATGAGAATATATATTTATAAGCTAATTCTTTAAACAATTCACACTGTTCTGGCAATTAAAGTTAGCTTTGGTGCTCAGAATTGTTTTATTTTTCTATTTGACAGAATTTCATCTTTTCACTAAAATCTGAGACTGAGCCTGCATAGATAATCCATTGAAAAAGGTTACCATTCACAATTCCAGGTGTAATTAGTGCTTCATTAACTCACCCCTTTATCTCCTCTTGTTTTGGAATTGAATTTCACTGTCTTTAAACGGGCGCGTTCTTTTTTCTCAACCCTACCACAAAAAGCATATACAAAAATGGTAAATCAGCAACATTCCAGAACTTCAAGTTACTACTTGTTACAATGCAAGCATACTGGTGTACCTTTTGTAGGATAGATTTTTATTGCTGATGACACCAGAAAATGGAAGCATACTAATGGAAAACTGCACTGGAAAAGTAATATATTATTTCTCAAGTAATGAGCTGTGACGGTATTGGAGTATTTTGTGATTATATAGATTCAATAAACCCAGAGGGTGCAAAGAGAAAGCATGACACAGTAAATGAACAGCCTCAATTTTGAGTCAACAGCAGATATTAAGATTCAGAGCACCTAATTTCTCATTTGGGTTTCTATCACACTAACAAACACCTCATCCCATTTATTCTGACAACAAAGAAAGATTTAACAGTTTTCTGGGTTCTGTGTAGAAAGAATTCATGACAGCTTCATGATTTGAATAAAATTAACTTTGCACCTTTTTATCCATAAATGGTGCAATGTTATTAAACCCACATGTAATGTCATTAAGCCCATACCTTCCTTACAGGGAGAACAAAGAAATGGGACTTGGAACACCTTTATCAACTTCAGAATGCAACTTCTAAAACTAAATGGGATTTTAACAAATTTCTCGTTAAGTTACCCAGAATCTCACTACACAGTATTTAAAACCAAGTAAACCCAACAAATTAGTGGCTTAGGTGTACAGGATTTACAATGAAGAGCAAAGTATATGCAATATATGCATTAATCATATCAGATGTTTAATAGTAGATAACCCAAAGTAACAAAACATGACATACCTGCGTTTGCTAGGGATAACTCCAATCTCATCACTTTCTCCATCCGGAGTTACCTGCCGTGCTTGCCACCATTCATCATCAGAAGCATTAATGACATGGAGAATATCGCCAAATTTGAAATTCAGTCCTTGACTGGGAAGACCGCTGTCTTTAGTCTTGTCATAATCAAAAAGAGCTCTACAATGAGAATAAAAAATAAGACATTGTTAAAGCAAAGAAAAAACACAGGGGAGTATGAAAAGCACAAAATATGAAGCAAGCTGCCTGTGTTCATAAATTATTGCCTCATTCTGTCAACTGCTTAAAACAAGGCAGCTGAATGCACTCTCTCATATACACACACGCAGAGAGACAATATGTAGTATAGTATTCAAACACACTTCTAGGTTTTAGCGCATGAGAACAAACTTAATCCAGAGCAAAACTAGTTCTTTACAACAGGGCTACAAGCAGATGCCTCCTGCAATTCAATGTACTTAGCACAGTGCAAGTTACATGTCAGCCCAGGATAAAAAAGGCAAGCAAGTATTTGCAGCATAGAGCACTGTTTAAAGTTCTGTAATGTACCTTGGTTTATGTAAAATTATAAATTGGAATTATTTTAGTAAATAAAAATTAACTCTTTCTCTAAAATGAAAGTCAAGGTCCTGCTCACAGAGACAAAACAAACAAACAAAACCAACACAACCAAACAAAAAAAAAAGAAAACCCAAACCCCAACAACTCTGTTATAATGGCTCAACACAGAGAACTGTATGTGCATTCTTTTGGAAAATTCCCAACTATTCCAAGGTCATCTCAGCCTTTCTTGTAAGGATTTTCTAAGTGCCTATTTTCAAATAATAGGCACCAGCAACACCTGAACACCAGCTGTGTGACTACAGTTTTATTAATACCCCCTATGCTAGCAAGGTTGGTTTATGCAAGTTTGCTATTACCCAGACCCAGCTTTGCCTGCTTTGCACAGACTCCTTCCCCCTTACTCCCCACCCCTAGTTTTGTTTATGAAAGCAAAATTGTCCAGAAAAGCACATGGTCCACCATACTGTGGAACTGATCTGGGTTAAACCCCATTTCCTTTCTCCCTGTTGGGTCATTTTATGCCTCTGTCAGTTTCCTGAGGAACTGAAGAGACACACAGTATTTTTCTCCCAGCACAATCGAACATTTCGTGAGGATGTGAAAATGAATGGTCATAGGACCCTCTTACCAAACTCTAAGAGATTATGCCTTACAAATCCTAAAATAATCCTAAGACTATGCCTTATAAAGGACTCCTATTATACATTTGAAATAAGTGTACGAACCTCGTGCCTATATGACCTAGGCCAAAAAAACCTCAACTTGATTTCATCTGTAAGGCCACATGTTTGTCAGTTGATGAACCTTCTAAACGATACCCTGTCTCTGTTTAAAGACTTGATTCCAAGTCCATCACAAAGTAGCATCAATAGATTGCAATGTAATGATTTTTAAATGGTGTCCTTGTCCAAGTTCAGTTTGCTTCTTCATGCTGAAGAACATGAACATGCATCAACATGTCTTATGTACCTTTTTCTGCTAGATTTTTAATACCCAATTCTTTTTTTTTTTTTTCATAACCCATGTAAGTACTCATTTGGAGCTGTTTGCTCCAAAACTTATTTTTGTTTTGTGAATTTTGCCTTTCTGAACATCTGAGTGCATATCTTTGGATCTGACCTATATTTGTTCATGACAAATTGCTTACAGAGAAGTTTAAAATTTTCTGTCAGATCAATTTATCTTTAGCATAAGGTCTACCAGAACTCGGAGACCCCATGCCTTTCTTGGGCCATAAAAAGTATCACAAACTTTTCAGAAAGGGCTAAAAGTTTTAACAAATATCTAATATGTCTAGAACAAGACAGACATTTTAAAATAGCTTACTCTCATGATGCACAAAGCCCTATATTTAAACATGCAATAATTTTAGTTTGTTGAATTTATTATAAAATTTAGGCTTTCAATTTTGAAATAGCTTGAAGGTTGAAATACAACCTCCCTTCAGCAGTGCAACTTCCACTAGAAGATGTTTTAGTTTAATTCCGTAATATACTTGAAATGTCCCAATTATTTTTAAAAATTATAACCCTTTTCTTCTTTGAAATAGCCTGAATACTGCAGGTAAGAAAATTATACCCCTACCAATGATTCCTTCAGATTGTTTTTGCACATACTTGTTCAGGAAGGACTCTGGACAAGCATCATTCTGTGTCTCAAAATAAACTGCACATACTCCATATTTTTAATGCAGATTCAAGTTGTATACATTTTCACTGACTTAATTAAATGCATCATGAAATTTATCTCCTGAGAATTCTTGTTAGCATTCAAGCAGTGATTTCACCAGTGCTATTTCTAACTTCTAGTTTGAATGTAAAATATGAGCAGTGTACTGGGCCTAACAGCATTAACAGCTGTGTTGACTGCTTGACAAAAAATATTTGTAAGAGTGAAATAAAAGCACTAATGGACAAAAACATAATATCAATATGTGCTCTTCAAACTAGGTAAATGGTTACACAGAATAGTTCTTTTGCACAGTGAAATGCTGTTTCATTAAATACCTCTCCTCTGGTGAGGGCACTTCAACAAAAATAATTTTATTGGAGAATGAAGTCAAAGCTGATAAAAATAGTTTTATTATGAGTTAGAGTACCACATAGTAGTGACAACTTCTGCACTAAAATTTAGAGGAACACCAGGAATGATAAAATAAATGAGACAAAAAGCAAAGAGAATTAACAAAAATCTCTTTGGATTCCAACTGATAAACATGGCTTTTCCTGTATGCTTGGCAAGTCACCAAATGAGAACTCATTTCACAGGCAAGATGACACATTTTTCTAGAGACTGGTTGTCTTTATATAAAAAAAAGTTTCCTTTATTAACTCCCTGTATGGAGACTTCTATTACTTGTTAATACATGGTATTAACAATACCACGTATATATTTATTTAGTGTAAGTTATAAACACGAAGTTACTTAAAAAATAAACTTGGTATTTCTGATCAACTACTCCTAAAAATTACAGAGAAAGCACCACATCCTCCCTTTTATTTTACCTTGTATTACTCAGCTACTACTCAGCACTAAAAAAGGTAACTTGGTTCCTCCATTTACAAGTCGACAGAAACTGAAGTTGTTGCACGTTTCATGAGTACTTATGTTTCAAAGCCAAAAATTTAATGGCTGTGTTAACAGCGCCAGATTTTATAGAACATCTTTTTACCGGGCTATACTAATTACTTTCAGTATCACAGGCTGCTGATCAAGTTTTTCTGACTCATATCATCTTTTAGGGTATTTTTGCTGAACAAAGCAATTCCTGCAGCAAAAGCATCTCCATGTATTATTTCATGAAACATGAATTAATCTTACCACTTCAGAATGAATGAAGTTCAGGTTATAAAGGAGGCTCTCTTTTTCATTCTGAGTTTTTAAGGAAAGCTGTTTGAAACTAGATGTTTTAACTAGCAGAATAACAGGAATGCCCAGCTAAGCTCCTCCTGCAGGCAAATACGCTTTTCAGGCCTAGTGTTAATGCCAGATCTTATTTTTTCAATTGATTCAGTTAGGATTTCATAACGATTTTAAAACTGCAAATCTTACGCCACTTTGACACATAACCATTTTCTGCTCTGACTCAAGCAGAAATCAGCACCATTACTTGAATTTAGACTGTATCATGCCAGAAAAATGCACAAAGGGAAAAGTAATTTTCAATTTTGAATTCTATGCACATTGCACAGAGCGAGATTTGGCATGCAAGATGAGCTATAATATGGATCAAATTTACTCCCTATCAACATATCATAGAAACTTGATGCCATTGGGCTATCTCATCTTTTCACATTTGCTTTTTGAATCTGCAGGTGAAGGAGGATAGCATATAGATATAATTCAGACGTAAAACTGAAATATTGTATAAGAATCTCTCTCCTCTTAAAGAGCAAAATAAATATGAAGCAAAAATAAGGGAAAGCCATTAAATCAGTACATCTTAATAAGTCGGGAGGGCAGGGAGATGGAGATGAGGTGGTATTACATTTACAAATGAAGAGTTAGCTGCTGCTGAATTGCTATATTTGTATTTCCTTCCAAGGAGTGTTTGTTAAATTGCTACTCACCATATACTAATATACATACAATTAAGAACAAAAATCTGGCATTTTACTTTAAATTTTATTTTCAGAAAAACGCAATAATCTTTTCCTTAATATTATATAACACCTCCAAAACACTCTTTAGAGGCAGACTATTCATAAAGATACCGAGTTTCAGTTATAGGGACACAATGACGTATCTGATATTACTTGCTATTTTGTTACCATGATTTTGAGAAATCAGCAGACTATTATTTTTGGAGTGGTTTTATTTGATAGGCTTTCTGCAATTGTGGTTGAATGCCTATAAAGATTTTACTGTTGGATTAACCAATCAATTCAGCATTATGTTATGCAACTGGAATCCTCTATGGAAAATCCAAAACCAAATATTATAGAAAAAAAGATAACTTCAGTTACTAAAATAGGTTTGAATTGGTACAATTAAGAGTGCAAGATGCTCATACCAGAGTGACTTATATAAGAAGGAAGAGGCTGGATAACTAACATGTTCTGCCAGTATCTAGCAATATGTGAAAAGATTCATAAAACTTTACTTCAGTGAGGTCAAAATTACATCAGAAACCAGACAGAACAGATGTGAACCCATCCTGTGTATACTAAGTTGCCTACCAATCTTTGGCATCTTTTGGTGTGATGACAAGAGTAGATCTCAAAAGCCCCAGCAGCACCCTCTGTTTGGAGATGTGGGTGGGAAAGTACTTTTCCTGAGGAATTTTTGCATTTTAGATTTTTGTTCTGACTTTAAATAAGTCTGATTACCGAGTCTTAAAAGCTTTTCCGCCAACAACCTGGGGAAGGCTGCATCTTCTTCTGCAGCTGGCAGTCAAAAACTCAAAGACTTCCATCAGTGGAATAATAGCTACATAAACATAAAATACTTGCCAGTGGCTTACAATACCAGACCAGTGCATGAACATGACCATAAGCAGTTTAGAACCTAATCAGGCTATAGGTGACCAAGCAAAAGAAAAGCATTTAGAATTGTTTAGGCTTAGTTATATGATGAGGGCTAAAGCAATAAATCTTGTGATTATGGAAAGGACAAAGTTCTCACCACAATATCCATATGTATACCTACCTGTAGAAATTCTAAAACATGGATAACTGATATCAAGCACTTATGCTTAGTATTTAAGGCATTTATCCTTTTTAAATTTTAAAAAGTTTTAAGTTTTAAATTCTGACCCCAAAAAATATTTAAAGTAAAAAAATCCCCACCCCCCCCCCAAAAAAAAACAAACCACCAAAACCAAAGTAAACCCAACCAAATCAAAAAAGCAAAAGAACCCCACAGATAATGCTACTAAAATAATAGGTAAAAATTAAGAACTGTATGTCATAGTTAATCTAAACAGAAGTCCTGTATGAGGACATTTGTTTCAAAGCCTTCAAAAACAGGTTGTAAAGACTGAGACTTTCCTGAGCATAGATGCAATGACTCAGGTAAGACTTGCTTCCTGTCCCATAGCTCAATACTATTTTGTTCACAATGCTATATGTATCTGCTTTGGATGGGAAAAGTCAATAGCCCCTGAGCCTACAATTTCAGAAGATATGCCAGTGAGGTCGTACAACATTTTAAAGCAAGTTTAACCTGAGAACCAGCACTACTGAAGTTTTATCTACTCTCCTAAAATGGTCTGGACCCTGCCAAGATTATACTGCTGGCCCTTATTTAATCCAGGGATGAGCTGGTTTGGGGAATTCAATAAATTTATTCTTAAAAATGCAACCCTTTTCCCCATACTCCTTATTTGAAATATTATGCTGTATCAGTGTAGAATAATTGATGTAGGAGTTCGCTGGCACATTAATGAGACGCACTTTGCCACAATTTCCCAGTGAAACCACCCATTTTCTTAACTGCTTCATGCTCTTTTATATTTCCACTTCCTTTTAACCTTCTTTATGTTTAATTCTATATGAATAAATTATTGAAGAATAATCCGTTCATTTAATTTGATGCATTTGCTCTCTTGGCTACCATGGAAAATATTCTATAACAAAATGCCACTGGATCTAGAATTAAGTTTTCTTAATATAAGCTGAGAATACAAATAAAGCTAAAGGAAGTAAGATGGAAGTATGTCAAAGCCTAAGTAAAGGGAGACAAATCTGAAGTAAAGAACTGAACAAGGAAGAATATGAAGGCTACTGTCAAAAAACCACAAACTGAATTAAGCAATTTATTAAGACTCCACACATACACTGACTTTCAGAACATTTTTGCTGGAAGATTATGATCTCTGAAGTAAGACAAAAAGCAAGTAACAGCACTCATACAGAGTGGCTCATGGCTATTATATAGCCTCATGGCTATTACTTTTTTTTAAACCATTATATTAACTGATCTAAAATTAACTTTTATTTTTAATATATTTTACATATAAACATACATTTGTTAAGTTCAATAATGAATAACTCTCTAAAAATCCAAATACAGAAATACAAGTCTGCAGAAGAAATACACTAGCAATACTATGAGAAAGATGATTACCTGACATAGAGGGATCTCTTCTGGCTGGTTCGCAAAGATCCTGATCCTGAACTAATGCTACTGTTCATCATCTGTTCCCGTAAATCATGTATTTTAGCTTCAAAACGACTGTATTCTGCAAGAAAGGGAGGTATTGAAATTTATTTTCCTTGAACTTCAGCAATTAAAATTTGAAATAATTGTGATTAGACAAAGCAAATAAATAAGCAAACTATACTTCAAAATTCTGTGGGCTTAATCTATAGGTTACAGTAACTATTTTTTTCTAATTAAGACAACCATTTCTACCAATATCATTTTTATAGTAATAAAGACTGATACAGGTAAAGTTTAATCCCTGACAAAAAGAAAACTTCAAAACATCCATGTGAAATGGATAAGCTTATAATAAAGAACTATATATTTTAAATTTTAAAGAAATGGGAATGAAAAGTGCCTATACTCTAAAATTACCAGACTTGAATTAGATAAAGAATTTAGCACTACAAGGTGGGAAATAAGCAGAACATCCCCTGAATAATACAATGTTTCCACTGGAGCTGAGCAAAGGAAAAAAAAAATATTCCAGAATTCTCGCATGAATTTTAATCCACTTCTAAACAGCACTAGTGATTCTAACTCCCTCTCAAGAATTATGTACAATGTTAATCCTGGAAAAACGGATTGTGCTCTTAAACAGCGCTATGTACCATTACAACTAAGCTAAATGCATTTGATTTTAGCTACAAAGACAGGCAAGTAAAATAACAGCTTCTTCAGGACAAACATTTCCTGAAGTGAGGTACTTACATGCTGTCAGCATAAAATATGAACTCAGAACAAGTTAGTTTTTCCTTCAGTTGAATAGTTTGGACTTCAGGATCAACAGATCCACTTGTAAAATCTTCCTAGTTAAAGAAACGTTCTGCAGCCACCACCTTCGCTAGTAGACCACGTGATGCCAGATTAGAACAAGTCAACACTAGGAGAGCCAGGGTGTGTGTGGCTGGCAGCTGCTGAACTGGGTACTTTGCTGCTCTTCCTAGCTGCACCCTTATTCCCTGTCCTCATCAACTCACACGGGAAATGCAAGACAGGGGTTTAAAATGCAAAAAAATCACTAAAGATTCCTTCAACACTTATCTAAAGACTACAACTGATTTATTGCATTACATTCTGGGGCATTTTCTCCCCACAAACTCAAACAGTGAGCACAAGCTAACCACAGAAGAAAAAAAAAAAGTTACAGAAGAATATTCTGTGAACCAGTTTCTGGTTATCACTTCATCAAGGTTACTAATAAATCTGATGCTCAAGCACCAGCAATTATTAACCCTGTCCAGAACATGGCAATATTCACAGTCTCTTAAATAACCTTGAGTTTTGTCCTTTAAAAACAAAAGCTGTTAGTTCTTAAGACAGCATCTTAGTTTTAAAAACAGCATTGACTGCATGTTAACAAAGTCCAGATGAAGTAATTTACCAGCACTAAATCAGACTGACAAGGTTGGTTAACAAGAGAAACAAAAACTATTTCCACCAGTACCAGTGATACCACTAATAGCAAAATAATTTAAGATGACAGGATGGTAACCTAAAAGGAATATGAAAAAATTACATCTTTTAGAAAACAATATACTTTAGGGAAATGACCCAGATGCAAGCAAAGAGAGAAGTACACTCCTGCTGCGCTACTGCTGTACTGCGTGGCCTCAGCTAAGTCACTTCATTTTACTTATTTTACCTGAGAAATTATCTCTTAAGCCTCCCACCTGTTTCTTGGGTGTTTTGGAAGATCGAAGCTGTCAAACTGAAACATACTGTACAAATGGTAGCTGAGGTTTCTGACATAAGTGATTCCCTCTCCTCCCCTCCTCTACCCTCCCAGTGAAAGGAAACTAAGCATTGAAAACACCAGATAACCCAAGCTTTTTCTAGTGCTACAGCCTGTTCAGTACTGAAAATACCCGCAGTTCTTTGCAACAGATACTGGAAAAGACCACAAATTTCTGTTAAGAAAGTACCATGTGTCAAATGCTGAAATAACTGATTCCCTCCTATGTAGCATGTAGTACATAAGAGAGTTAACAGGGGAAGTTACTCCTTACTATCGCTTAACTCTATCCTATACATCATCTTTGGGTTGCTGGTCTTGCAGTCTCCTGGAGTAATTTAATTTTTCACATCAGAACTCCTGGAAAGTAAGTGCTGAATGAGTGGCAGGGAATTCTGTAGGAGTAAAAAGGAGAATAATTTCTACATAGAGGCTCCTGCCATACCAATAAAGCAAAAAATGAAACTAATGGGCTGGGGTTGAGAAGGCTCTATGTTCAAAAAGAAGAGGTGCCAACAGATGTCATATTTAGGAAAAGCTTAAACACTCTGCACAGATGGAATATGGTGAAACCCTTTGGCGTACAGCAAGCTAAAAATCTGAGTTATATTCCTCTTACAGAAGGCTCTGGGAGGAAATGCATGGATAGAAATCTCAAAATCATTGGGTTTGGGGAGGAAAACCAGTTGGGATTTTGGGGTTTTGAGCTCTGCTCATCTGTCTAGGAGAGGTTATATTTCTATCTCTGTAATTCAAACTGTCTTCAGCACCTTCAATCTCTTATTGAATTGATACCATCTGGTAGTTTATGAAATGTAGAAAAGTAGATGCAAGATAGCAGTCAGAAGATGGTCCACAGCTGCTCCCTCTTACATGCTCTGTAAGAGGGAACCATCAATAGCAAGACTGCAGACTCATATCTGAGATGTGTATGTATCAAATGAAATCCAAACAAAATGAAAATTTGTAACTACCTACACACCTGGTTTTAATCAATCCCTGCCAGTGACACCTTACTACTTACAAAACAAAACAAAACAAAGCAAACAAACAAAAAAAAGCCAACAAATTGCAAAGAAGTAGCATCAAATTTACACTAATGGAAGACTCTATATAAATGGATATACCAGACAGAGATGACTCTGTAGGAAACCCCCTTAGCTAAAATAACATTAAAGCGGAAGTACTGGATAAAAACAAAAGCACGATCTTAGCTTAACACTTTTCTCTGACTGGAAAGCAAGTATTTAGGGATTATGGGATGAGAACTAGGCATGCACAGAGTGATACCTCACCTTCATGTACTCTCATATTCTCCAGTATTTTCAATGTTTACAGAATACCACTGTAAGCCTAAATTACCTATTTCATTCAGCTTATCACCACAACATCCTCCCAAATGCTGGAGAATGGTTTTCTTCATAATTCCATTCTTTCTTATGGGAAACGCAGAATCACAGAATCATAGAATAGTTAGAGTTGGAAAGGACCTTAGGGTCATCAAATTACAATCCCCCTGCCATAGGCAGGGACACCTCACACTAGACCATGTCACCGAAGGTTCTGTCCAACCTGGCCTTGAACACTGCCAGGGATGGAGCATTCACAACTTCCCTTTGCAACCCATTCCAGTGCCTCACCACCCTCACAGTAAAGAACTTCCTCCTTATATCTGAACTTCCCCTTTTTAAGTTTGAACCCACTACCCCTTGTTCTACCACTACAGTCCCTAATGAAGAGTCCCTCTCAAGCATCCTTGTAATATTACATACATATATATATGTATATGACAAAATTGATTTTATTTTTACCCCCTAAAATACAGTGAACAGCACAATAAACTCCCAACATGGCTAACTGTGACAAAACCACACAATGTACATATAAATATAAAACCTTCAACATTCCAGAAACTAGGAGCTGGAACAGGCACAGCGAGCAAGATAAAAAGGGCAGTCTTTCTTCGCTGAGAGCTAATGAAGAGCTTGGCTGAGAAGAAAAACGACTGATCTCTGGTATAATGTCATTAGGGTAACCAAACAAAGGACAAAGGGTATTTAAATGAAAAAGCAAAACTGACTTTAACCCAAATGGACTAGGCTGGTACAAATATGCCTCCAATTTCTGGAGCCATTCAAAACACTGAGATTCTGAAATAGTATTTAAATAAAAACAATGGTGGCACAAGAAACATCCCCTCCATACGCCCCATGAAATTAAAAACAAGACTGAACCACACAATCCAAATCCTCAATCCTTTCACGTAATAATTTAACCAGGATCTGAAACCTGATGTATATGCAACAGCAGTGAACAGAACTTAACTCATGATCTCTTCTAATGTCCTCAATTTTAGGAAAGCCACTAATGCTATACATCTAACAAAGGGTAATATGCAGCAAGATTAACATGAAATGCAATGAAGTAATAACATAACAGCCTTTCTTCTTGGCTAGAATGTTCTCTAAGTTTCCAGTAAGTTTAGGAGCAGGGAGGGAGTGGTACTTGCTATCACAACACAGAGCCTGAGGAAGCACAAGCATCTGCTGCTTCAGTTCATGGCACTTACCCAACAGTGCCCCACCGTTGCCAAAGGGAAAGAAAAGAGCCTACTCAGGTTTACATATAATCAGTTTTTAAGAACATTGGATGGATACATCTGAGATCAACTTTAAACTTTAGAATTATACTGGATAAGCAGATAGTGCAAAACTAGACTAAATTCACTCAATTTCACGTCTGCATGTATTACACAGCAAAAATTTAACAAAAAAAAGAGAAAAAAAAAAGAAAAAGGGGGGGGAAAGGGGGTAGGGGGGGAATTAGGAAATCCTAGAAGATTACTCCCAAAGTCCTAAAGTGATTTTACCTAGAAAACTGTAGTGTTTTCAATGTCAATGTTTATCAGAAATCAAACCTTCAGAGAAAGGATCTGACCAGTGAAACGTTCCTGTACTGTCTATCTGGTGGGCAGCAAGATGCTACATGGTAAGTAGTCTGCACAGGCAGGGGAAGAGAAAAAGAGGTTGCAATGAAAATTATTTTGGTCTGGAACACATTCTAGAAAATGGGGTAAAAGAACAGAAGACTACGACAAGGAATGGAAAATTCACCTAACAGCACAGAAGGAAAAGCAATTCAAGGAAGTATAGATGTGTGTACAGGGAACAGATGGCAGCACAGCACTGAGAATCTGAGAATCTTACATATATTGAACCCATGAAGAGCTGAAAAAGTTCACTTTAATTAAAAAAGTATGCCCCTTGCTTCCCTCTTCCCATCTGTCTGTAGAAAGCCCTTCT